AGGTGTCAAGCTTGATCGTTAGGGTAATGGGAAATCATTAAAGAGTCTGAAGTAGGGAGTGAAATGGTCAGATCTGCATCTAAACAGAAACTTCACAACAGCTACAGGTATATCTTGGGGTGCCTAAATCCTTGTGTTCCCTCCCAGATGACCACACACTGTGCTTCCAGCTCTCACTCCTCATGGAATTCCTAAGTGGGTACAAAATGCAAGGGCTTCAGCCACTGTGCCCGGCCCAGGCTGGAATCTTGCTGTCCAGAAATGCAGACATTTACTGTGCTCTGCCAGTTGCCTATACTCCTCGACCCCTATACTGGGGTGAATGGTGACCCACCCAAAAGGCGTAGCCATGCCCAAGCCCCCTGAAGCTGTGAATGTTACCTTATTTTGAAAAGGGGTCTTTGCAGATATAATTAAGGATCTTAAGATGAGATCATCCTGGATTACCTGGGTGGGCCCTACATGCAATGGTAGGTGTCTTTTTAAGAGACAGAAGAGGAGGAGACCATGTGACCATGGTGGCAGAAATGGGAGTGATGCTGCCACAAGCCTAGGAAGCCAAGGATTGCCGGTAGCCACCGGAGGCTGGAAGAGGCAAGGCCAGATCCTCCCCTAAAGCCTCAGAGGAGATGCAGCCTGCTGATGCCTTGATTTGACCTCTGCCTTCCAGAAGTGTGGCAGAGCACAGTTCCATTGTTTCGAGCTACTCATTTTGTGGTCGTTCATTACAGCAGTCCTAGGACACTAACACAACCCCATACTCTAAGAAGCTTCAGCCCCAGGACCCTTCACCATCTGGTGGACCCTTCTAAACCAGAACACTTCCCTTCTGTTTAGAAGCTGTAATTGTGACAGAGGCAAACAGCCAGACCATATCATCTGTGGATCTCCTTCTCTGTATTGTTTGGCACTAAAAGGCTGCCTTTGCCCAAACCAAGAAAGTGTATTACCAGAATGAAACAATGGACGGATCAGTGGAGCTGGATCTTTGGTCAAGGCTGGAAGACTCTAAGAGGGACATGCTGGCAGGACTCTGCAGGAATTAATGGTTTGGAAACAGGGAGGAGGACAGTGAGTTGCTCTATGGTGGTGGGTACAGAAATGGCATGGATGGTTGTTGTCTAAATAGATTCCTAGCTTCAAGTTCCCAAAAGAGCCTGGGAACTGGTGTTCCGGAACACTCAGCCTGGCCTTTAGGGTGGGTTCACTAACACTCCACTTGTCAAGAGTTTCTTAAAGCACTCACTATGTGCTTGCTGTGTTCGGTGCTGTACCCAGCTAGGCAACTGGCAGGGCACAGTAAATGTCTGCATTTCTGGACAGTAAGATTCCAGCCTGAGCCGGGCACAGTGGCTCACCTCTGTAATCCCAACACTTTGGGAGGCCAAGGCGGGTGGATCACCTGAGGTCAGGAGTTCAAGACTAGTGTGGTCAACATGGCAAAACCCCTTCTCTACTAAAAATACAAAAAAATTAGCCAAGCATGGTGGCACGGGCCTGTAATCCCAGCTAGTCAGGAGGCTGAGGCAGGAGAATCACCTGAACCCAGGAGGTGGAGGTTGCAGTGAGCCGAGATCGTGCCACTGCACTCCAGCCTGGGTGACAGAGCAGGACCCCATCTCAAAAAAAAAAAAAAAAAAAAAAAGATTCCAGCCTATCTCTGAAAGTATCAGTAATCAACCTATCAACCTTTGAGTGTGTAATAAGTGTCTCTTCCTGGAAGAATCCTTACCCAACCCTGTAGACAGCCAGGGTCCTCTGTCAGAGCTTCTGTTTTGGAGGACTGGTCAACATTGTAATGTTAGGGGCTTCCCTTCAATATCTTCAGCATCACAGGAACCAGCCTGGTCCTTGGCTCACTGTAGGTATCTAATAAAGAGTTGATGAGTTAAACAGGTGAGTTCTCAGTTCCATCTGGGTTTTCAGAAGGCACTGCAGAAGGTTCTTATCTTATTAGGAGAAAGGTTTCAGCTGTTAGTTTCAAACACTCTGAGGGTACTGACAGCCAGGGGCCCAGGTTTCATGCCAAGACAAGGAAATAGGATGAAAGAGAAAAGGCCCAGGGCAAAAAGAAGGCTGTGGGTGGGTAGGAGGGAGGGAGGGGAAAGGGTATCAAAGCTAAACTCAGCATTGGTAGAGGCCACAATTTCACAGCTCTCCTCCACGAGGTGGGATCTTTGTGCCAATTGTCTTAAGTCTTGGCTAAGATGGCATTCTACACCTCCTTTCTTATAACTCCCTCTCTCTCCCTTCCCTCCCATTCTCAAACATTTTAATTTAACTGCAAATAGCACCTACATGAGCTGGACTCAAAAGGCATCCAGAAACTCATCAAGTACAAAGGGGCATTGGACTCACCACAAATCCTGCCCCCCGTGGAAGGTCTCTGCTTATATTGAACAAAAGAGTGTTTTGCAGAGAAATGTGGTAAATCTGGGTGGCCAACTCTTTGCCAATAGACTTCTCCCGTAAAACAGAGAAATAATGGTGGCCATCTGAAATGGGAAGAAATGAGAGCATGCATGTAGGGCCCCAAGTTCTGTGCCTGGCCGCGGTCACGGTACTGGCAGTCTTGAGGCTAAGCCTGGGAACCACAGCTGCTATTTCAATTTTTTTTTTTTTTTTTTTTTAGGTGGAGTCCTGCTCTGTAACCCAGGCTGGAGTGCAATGTTGCAATCTCGGCTCACTGCAACCTCTGCCTCCTGGGTTAAAGCAATTCTCCTGCCTCAGCCTCCCAAGTAGCTGGGATTACAGGCATATGCTACCACACCCAGTTAATTTTTGGATTTTTAGTAGAGATGGGGTTTCACCATGTTGGCCACGCTTGTCTCTAACTCCTGACCTCAGGTGATCCACCCACCCCGGCCTCCCAAAGTGCTGGGATTACAGGCGTGAGCCACCGCACCTGGCCAGTGTTTCAATTTTAAAGACCTGGCTCCTCTAACCTGCTGTATGAGGAATCAGTCGCTCCCTTTTCCTCTGTTTCCCTCCTTTGGTTGTACCAGGGCAGTGTAAACATTGCAGCCTTCTGAGATAGGCACCCAGGAGGACCAGGCAAGACTACGGTCATGTACTCACTGTCAGTAAACATTAGGCTTTCACAAAGTCCGGGCAGACTTCAGAAGATGTGGCTGAAGTCCTTAGTGTTAGCTCTCCTGGGGCATTTCTCTCAACACAGTGTTGTTAGTGCCCTTTGGACTGGGTGAGGGAGGGGTGGAGGAGGTGAGGAAGGGAAGTGTCAAGAAAGGCAGGAGCCCACTGAGTAGAGTCGGGAAGTAGCTGGCACTTTGGGAGGCCGAGGCAGGTGGATCACCTGAAGTCAGGGGTTCGAGACCAGCCTGACTAATGTGGCAAACCCCCGTCTCTACTAAAAAATACAAAAATTAGCCAGGCCTGGTGGTATGTACCTGTAATCCCAGCTACTTGGGAGGCTGAGGCAGGAGAATCACTCAAACCTGGGAGGTGGAGGTTGCAGTGAGCCGGGATTGCACCACTGCACTCTAGTCTGGGTGATAGAGCGAGATTCCATCTCAAATAATAATAATAACAATAATAATAATAATAATAATTTTTTAAAAAGGGTCTTGGGCCCCCTCGGTCTTCTCGCTTGGGGACCTGCCTCTTGCCTCTTCTCTGAAGCTCCATAAAGGAGACCCTGTTTCACTTTGCTTGCCTCTTTTTTCTATAAAATCTTGTTCTGAGAGAACTACCTTGTACATTTGTTTATGCTAACATGTAAATGACTGCTGGGGATTTATGCTAGCTCATTTTCATAAGGGAAAAAGCTTTCAGTCAAAGAAATGAAAACCTTCAAGTGAGGGAGGCAGAGGGCCCTCCTAATGATTTAGAAAGCACACTGTCTACTCCATCCAGAAAAGCAGCGGGTGTTCTATAACCCAGCTGTGACAGGGGGCCCATGCCATTTGCGTTTAGCTGAAATGACTGAGCAACTTCAAGACAGGGTCTCACTGTCACCTAGAGTACAGTGGTGCAATCATAGCTCACTGCAACCTCTAACTCCTGGGCTCATGTCATCCACCTGATTCAGGCTCCTGAGTATCTGGAATTATAGGTGTGTGCCACCATGCCTGGCTTTTTTTTTTTTTTTTTTCTTGGTAGAGATGGTGGTCTCTGTATGTTGCTCAGGCTGGTCTCAAACTCCTGGGCTAAAGTAATCCTCCTGCCTCAGCCTCTCGAAGTGCTGGGATTATAGGTGTGAGCCACCATGCCCAGCCTGACTGAGCAACTTCTGAACCCTCCATCCTCTTCCTGGAATAGGAAAGTAGGCAGAGGCCTGGTGGTGGTGGTGGTGGTGGTGGTGGTGGTGGTGGTGGTGGTGGTGGTGGTGGTGATGGTGATGGTGGTGGTGGTGGTGGTGGTGGTGGTGGTGATGGTGGTGGTGGTAGGAGGACAGGGAAGCTCAATGGAGCAGAGGTACATAACGGGGGAGAGATTACTCCCTCCAAATGCACTTCTCTGAAAAAACAGGGCTGCCAGAGAGGAGTACAGAGCTATTTTTTCAAAGCATGACTTTCAATGTAACATCACTTTCAAAGTAAAGGGCTCTGGCCTTCTATGTCTTTGGGGGTACCCTCAGCCACCCTGCTTGGTCCCTCCTGCCTCATGAGATGTCCCAGGTCACGGCTGGTGTTTCCAGGAGGAGCTCGCCTCATGGGCAGCTGCAGCCAACCTGCAGTCTACCTGGATACTGCCTGGGATCCCCCTCTGCCTGGGTGCGTGGCACCAAAGTAAGGCCTGGATCACATTATGCTACCTGAGAATTGGGGTCAGGGTGTGAATTCAGGTTACCAGAGAGTGTCAGAGCAGAGACAGTAAGAAGGATTGGCAGGGAGTGTCACCTGCCCCATCCACAGGGCAGCCCCACCCAATAGCCCTCTTGGTTCAGGAGGGCATGATGCCAGGGTGCCAAGGGCCTGGCCTCCAGGAGCCCCTGGGAAAGTGGTTCCAAAAGAGGAAAAACAGATGGGCCAGAGCCAGTCTTGGAACACAAACACCAGTATATTTTATGTGCACAAATGTGAAAAGGAAGAGACAGAGGGACCAACGGAGACACAGAGCAGGCAATGGGTTCACAAACCGGTCGTGTGTCCTTCTCAAAAGCTGCCCAACTGGGAGACAGTCCCACCCACCTCAAAGGCCCTTTAGCAGAGCTGGGGCCTGCAGCTTCTCCAGGTCTGGGTGGCCTCAGGGTGGAAGGCACTCTCCCTGCCATGGCTCCCCTAAGGGCTGGGCCTCTCACCTGTCTGCATCCCAGGGTGATGCCTACACACCCCAGGGCTTCATAAATGCAGGTTCTTATGAACCAACCCATTCAGCAGCTGCCTCCCCAGGAGACCCATGCAGAGCAAGGGACCAGGACAAAAGGGCTTCACAGGGACTCCCTAGGTATTATTGCTGTGAATAAGCATAGGCCATTGTGACTCACTGGCATTGAAGAGGGGACAGGGCACATGGGATGCCTAGCAGATGTCAGAAGCAGTTCAACTATGCAGGGCAGCACATTGCAATCTGTAACTCAGAGATGCTGCCATGTCCAGTGGAGAGAGGCCCAGGACACCAGAGGTTCATGAATAGCCAGGAAACACTCCCCACCAGCACCCTTTTTTCTTTTTTTTTTTTTTTTTTTTGAGACAGAGTCTTGCTCTGTCGCCCAGGCTGGAGTGCAGTGGCCGGATCTCAGCTCACTGCAAGCTCCGCCTCTGGGGTTTACGCCATTCTCCTGCCTCAGCCTCCCATGTAGCTGGGACTACAGGCGCCCGCCACCTCGCCCGACTAGTTTTTTGTATTTTTTAGTAGAGACGGGGTTTCACCGTGTTAGCCAGGATGGTCTCAATCTCCTGACCTCGTGATCTGCCCGTCTCGGCCTCCCAAAGTGCTGGGATTACAGGCTTGAGCCATCACACCCGGCCCTCACCGGTACCCTTAATGCTTGGTAGGGCTGGGTTTATTCCAAACTTTGAGTCCCTGGGCACTAAGGGATTGGGGACCTGATACCCAAAAAAGCAAGAGTTGAAGTCTGGGCTATTCCCAGTGAGATCTGAACCTGTAGATCCCGTGGTCACGCCATGGGCTGTTGCCTTCCTTTGTTGGAGGTTTGATGCCTTATGAGGGGCAATTGGAGAAAAGGGACACCTAGATGGAGCAGAAACACAATGCTGGATGTTGCCAGGCACAGAGGCATACCCCCAGGACCTCCTGCACTTGGGAACTTATAGGACCCAGAGAGTAAATGGTGCCAGGGAATGCCCACAAGGCAACGTCTGGAGCAGCAAGACCTGGTGGGCCAACCAAGGACTTGCTCTGGCTGAGAATTATGGAGGCATCAACAAGCTGGCCACTGGACTCAGTTGTAGAATGCGAGTGTGAAGGTGGGTAGTGTGGTCTAGGGGCCCACATGGAAGGCCTGAAGGGGTGCTGGGAGACTAAGACAACATGGAGTTGGGGAGAGAACCAAGGAAACAATTGCTCGGAGAGAACGGAGAAGCCAGACAATATTCTCCTCCTGGAATTTTCTCCATCTATAGATGGAAAACAATCTACTCCCACCAGAAGCCTGATTCTCTGTAACCCCCAAAGCCCTGGAGTTGGGGCCACAATAAAATCAAAAGGAGGGCTGGCCCCTGCAGAAAGTAGTTCATCCCTGGATTCGAGGAGCCTGCCCAATAAATAGGCTAGGAAATACCCTTCGTTCTGCTCTGGACAGGGCTAACTGCAGAAAATCCTGCCAAAGGCAGAGTCTGCAAGCTTTTCTTCAGACCTAGAACACAACTGTGGCCCACCCCACCATACCCTGCACCCTGGGTTGTGCTATCAGCACAGTAAGGGCAGGGCAGCCAGCAGGGAAGAGAACATTCTCTCCACAGGTGATACCGTCACTTTGTAATGATCCATAAAAAGGGGAAGGCTAATTTCTACCTAAGAGTCCTACTGTGGTCAAGAAGAGACCATGTACCATGGGATGGGGCACTTTCTAACAGACCCTTTCCCTTGAGGAGTGAGAGAGCCAGTAGGCTGGAGAAGTATTTCACCTGTCCACTGCCAGCAATGGACCTGTCACAGGGCAAAGTGAGGCAGGGGAATCAAGGTGCCAATGCCCATGAGTGTGGCAGGGTTAATACTGTTTAAGGAGTAAGGTCAAAGGGTCAGCCTTGCTGGGAGGAGTTTGGGGAGAGGGACAGCCCTGAGGTTCTGCTACAGGGCTGGGGCTATGGCAGAACCAGAACTGATACCCTCCCACAAAGGAGGCTCCAAGGAGCCTTCTACAGCTGCAAGGTCCTCCTCTCTTTCTTCCTCTCATTCTCCATCGGTCTCCAATGCTGGATACCTGGCTTCTCCATCCCATAGAAAGCTAAACTGCTCAGTTTTGGCTTGAAAATAAACCAGGCAGGGAATAGACAACCTAGAACTCTGCCTTTTCCCCACCAAACTGACTCGCCTCTAGGTCACCATTGGGGATCCACAACGCCTATCCCAGCCTGCCTGTGCATTGGAGGGCATCATTTTTTCTCAGCTAAGCCACTGAGAAGGGATCACTGCCACAGCCCACTAGACCGGGGGTAGGGAGGTGTAACTCAGGAACTCCTCAGGCATCAGGCCAGCGGGAACAATGGAGGGAAGGGCTGCAAGGGGGTGGGGGTTGGGGGTGTCTCAGGGCTCCATCTCCCGCAGCTCCTGTGCTGGCTAGGGAGCTGGGGTGGGGCAGGTGTGGTGACCGACATGGATAAAGAGCTGCTAGTGGTAAAGGCCTTGAAAACAAGACAGAAAAGGGGGAAACGCCACCGAACACACGGGGATTGAAACCTCCAAAAGCCCAAGGTTGGTGGGAATCCAGCACCACGGGGGCCCCAGAAGGCCAAGGGAGCAGCGCAGGGCCCTGGGGGAGGGGAGAGGAGCCAAGGGAGGGTCTCCCAGCCCTTGCAGACCAGCGTTGCTGCCACGCAGCCTCCTGGCTGCCCAGTCTCTCCTCGGCTGCAGCTCAGCAGGCCCCTGGGGAGGTATTGGTTGCAAGCAAGCACCTGAATATTGCCTAATGGAACCAGCCAAAGCTTAACTAAATCCAGATCAGAGGGAGGGAGGTCAGGCCTTGCCTCCCACCTGTGGCCCCATTCTCATTGTCCCTTAGCCAGGACAGGGCCTGCTGCTTCCAAAGTCAACTACATAGTCTATCGCTGCTCAGCCACAGGCCTTCTGGCACCAACCCCTGAGCTGGGCCAGGACCCATGGACCCTTCCCAATGTCCCTCTGCTGCCTCCACACCCCATCCCCCAACACCTGACCACGGCCCCCCAACACTGGCCCCCGCGGAGGTTAGGGGGCTCTGTGTGCCCCACAGGGCTGAGACTTGGCCGGGGCAGGGCTTTTGCTGCATGGATGGGGCAACCTCACCAGCTTGGTCTCTTTGTCCTTGAGTTCCATGAGAGATCCCCAGGCCCCCCACCCACTTCCTACTCAGTCAGTCTTGACATGGCCATTGGCCAGGGCCAGGGCGCCGCTGGGATCCCCGGGCTCAGCGTCCTTGTCGAAGCGGAGGCGGAGGGTGTTGCGGATGATGAACTGCTCCATGATGAGGGCCCCACAGAACCAGGGCACGGCGTACTCCAGGGTGATGAGGCCCATGAAGTCAAAGTCGAACTGGGAGTAGTCCCAGGGGCAGGCGTTGAACTGGCGCAGGATGAAGCCGGTGGTGAACTCCCACAGGTAGGTCCAGAGCGTGTAGATGAGGCAGCGCAGGAGCAGCGGGCAGCGGCCGCGCAGCCGCAGGTACATGCGCTCCACGATGAGGATGGAGGTGCCGTAGATGAAGAGGGCCCACACACTCGTGACCCCTGGGAACTTCCAGTTCAAGTTCACCACGAACTCCCAGGCCGCCGTGAACATCACCTCGCAGAAGTAGCCGTGGATGGCGTACAGGTACCAGCGGGACAGCGCCGTCAGGGGCTCCGCAGAGGCCATGGCGCCGACTGGGGCTGGCTGCTGGGGGCACAAGAGAGACAGGTGAGGGCCGGGCGCGGTGGCTCATACCTGTAATCCCAGCACTTTGGGAGGCTGAGGCGGGCGGATCACTTGAGGTTAGGAGTTAAAGACCAGCCTGGCCATCATGGTGAAACCCCATCTCTACTAAAAATACAAAAATTAGCCAGGCGTGCTGGTCTGCTCCTGTAATCCCAGCTACTCGGGAAGCTGAGGTAGGAGAATCACTTGATCCCGCAAGTCAGAGGTTGCAGTGAGCCAAGATTGCTCCACTGTACTCCAGCCTGGGCGACAGAGAGAGACTCTGTTTCCAAACAAACAAACAAAAACAACAACAACAAAGCAAAGAACAGAATAACCCACCCACCCCACTGACTTCTCTGCAACTCTATCCAAATGCTACTTAGAGGGAGGTGTCTGTACTCCCTACAGCTTTTTTGGATTATCTGTGGTCAGTTGAAGAGTCGGCTGGCCTGGTCCACCAATCAACCCCATTTCTAGACTACTTGCTGATTTCTCAGCAGGCCTGTCCACTGGGGACCCCATTTCTTGCTCCACTTCTCAAACAGTTCCATGTCACTCATATTTCTGAGATGTAAGTGACCCATCACATTTGTCCTTGTGTGTGTGCATGCCATTTTTTAACCATTAAGTGTATAATTCAGTGGCCTTAAGTACATTCACATTGTTGCCCAATGATCACCACCAACCGTCTCCAGAACTTTTTCATTGTCCCAAACAGAAACTTTGTATCCATTAAATACAAACTCCCATTCCCCATACCCTTAGCCCTGGCAACCACTATTCTATTTTCTGTCTCTATGAATTCAACTACTCTGGGTGCCTCATGTAAGTGGAATCATACAAACACTGTCCTTTTGTGACTGGCTTAGCATAACCGGCTTAGTTTTCACTTAGCCTAACGTCTTTAAGGTTCATCCATTTTGCAGCACGTGTCAGAATTTCCTTCTTTTTTTTTTTTTTTTTTTTTTTTTCTTGAGACGGAGTCTCACTCTCTCGTCCAGGCTGGAGTGCAGTGGTGCGATCTCGGCTCACTGCAACGTCCACCTCCCAGGTTCAAGCAATTCTCCTGCCTCAGACTCCTGAGTAGCTGGGACTACAGGCGCACGCCACCACACCCGGCTAATTTTTGTATTTTAGTAGAGACGGGATTTCACCATGTTGCCCAGGCTGGTTGCAAACTCCTGAGCTCAGGCAATCTGCCCGCCTTGGCCTCCCAACATGCTGGGATTACAGGCATGAGCCACTGTGCCCGGCCAGAATTTCCTTCCTTTTAAAGGCGGAATCATATTCCATTGTATATATCACCATATGTTGTTTATCCATTAATCCATTGATGGACACCTAGGTTGCTTCTACCTTTTGGCTACTGTGAATAAGGCTGCTATGAACATGGGTGTACAAAGGTCTGTTTGAGTCCCTGCTCTCAACTCTTTCAAGTACATATGCAGAAGTGGAAATACTGGATTATATGGTAATTCTATAGTTAACTTTCTGAGGAACCACTGTGCTATTTTCCACGGTGGTCACACCATTTTACATTCCCTATCAGCAATGTACAAGGGTTCCAGTTTCTCCACATCCGCCCCAAACACTTGTTATTTTCTGTTTTGTTTTTATAATGGCCATCCTAATGGGTGTGAGGTGGTTCTCTCATTGTGGTCACATTTGTCTTTGCTCCATTAAATGGGGTTTTGGTGTTTGGTTTCAGTGTTGAGGGGAAACCAATGGATTGACACAGGAAAGTCCTCCCCTGTCCTTCTGGCTCCCTTCCCCTTCCCTCTTTTAAACCCCACCAGTCTTCAAGGCCCGGCTCCCATGCTGCTTCTCTCTACTTTCTCCTCGCCCTCCACCGGTAACTGTCTCCACTACTTATCTGGTCCCTTATCAGGTGCCACCCCAATGTCTTTTTGAGGAACGTGCTCTCATGATCCAACTAGCCTGTGAACTTCTTGAAGACAGTGACTGTTGCACAGGCTGGTGCTTTGCGGCCTTGACACAGGCCTCTCCTGGGCAGGCCCTCTCTAAATGACATGTCCTGTTCATGTGGAGGGCGGCGTGGGACTGCATCAAGAATGGGAAGGTGGGGCTTGAGAACATAAATCCCAGCTCTGCCAGCTGCCAGTGGCTTCACATCTCTGTTGATCCCCTCTCCAAGGTGGGAGAAGAGACAGAGGTTAAAGAGATGACATCTGTAGTATGCACACCTGTCTGGGAATCCCAGCCTCACATTTCAGCTGAGGCAAGCCTGGTCACATTAATACCTACCCATCCTTGTGCATTGCTCTGTGGTCTTCCAAGCACTTCATTCACATTTTGTCATGGATCTTACATAATTAAGATTCAGGCTGGGTGCAGTGGCTCATGCCTGTAATCCCAGAACTTTGGGAGGCCGAGGAGGGTGAATCACCTGAGATCAGGAGTTTGAGACCAACCTAGCCAACATGGTGAAACGCCATCTCTACTAAAAATACAAAAATTAGCCAGGGTGGTGGCAAGCACCTGTAATCCCAGCTACTTGGGAGGCTGAGGCAAGAGAATTGCTTGAACCCGGGAGGTGGAGGTTGCAGTGAGCCAAGATCGTGCCACTGCACTCCAGCCTGGGCAACAGAGCACGACTTTGTCTCCAAAATAAATAAATAAATTAAAAAATAAAATAAAATAAAAAAGATTCATGTGAAGGTCAGATAATTTTACTCCCATTTTTTTGCAGTGAGACAGTTAGAGCTCAGAGAGGGGACATCATTTGTCCTATATCTCAGGGCCAGTAAATGGAAGAGCTGAGACTAGAACCAATATCTCTTGCTTTCTACTTCAAAACTCATCCCCTGCACACAACTACCCATCTCTTAGACATACGTACCAAATGTTACTCCCCTGCTCAAAGATGCTCAATAGCAGCCAGGCACAGTGGCTCACGCCTATAATCCCAGCACTTTGGGAGGCGGAGATGGGTGGATCACCTGAAGTCAGGAGTTCAAGACCAGCCTGACCAATATGATGAAACCCTGTCTCTACTAAAAATACAAAAATTAGCCAGGTGTGGTGGCATGCGCCTGTAATCCCAGCTACTCAGGAGGCTGAGGCAGGAGAATCACTTGAACCTGGGAGGCAGAGGTTGTGGTGAGCCGAGATAGCACCACTGCACTCTAGCCTGGGTGACAGAGTGAGACTCCATCTCAAAAATAAATAAATAAATAAATAAATAAATAAATAATCCTTGTGGAATGAATACGTATTCATTGTATTCATACATCATATATAGAAGGTGTTCAATGAATTTGCTAAGCAAATGAACTCAAAGAAACCTGAAGTCACATAAAATTAATGCAGGCTCTTCCCTCATGGGTCATCCAACAACAAACCATGCCTCACAGGTCTGAATATGGCCAGCTGGTCAAGCTCAGGGGCCCCAGATGATCCTAACTGCCTGAGTTGGAATCCTGGCTGATGCTTTCCACCTGTGGGACCTAATGGACGCTACCCAACTACCCTGTGCCTCAGGGTCCTTGTAGGTCAAGTGAGGATAATGGAAGTAATAACCACAGAAGGCTGTTGTGAGGATGAATGAACTAGTACATATACTCTACTTAAAATACAGCTAAGGCTCCAGAAAGGGCAGCTGTCATTTCTGGCACAGAGCCAGGCTTCTGGACATCCCCCTCCTGCTTTTACGCCACCTCCTACCCGATGCAGGGTCACTGTGCCCCTGCTCTCGGCAGCCTCCAGGCAGCCCTTCCTGTCAAGCAGGTTAAGTCTTCATTGCAACCCTGAGCACCAAGCTAGTGAGCCAAGAAATCCGGTGGCAATAATAACCCCACATATGGCCTTCAGGAAAACAAAACTCCCACAGACATCCCAGGAGAGTGAAGGTGAGCCTCCAGCTGCCTTGTGGCTACTGAGGGATGAATGGAAGAGGAAGGGTGTCAGAGCCAGCCCGAGGGGCAGGCTTGAAAAGACGGTAGAATGAAAGGGGCACAGCCTCTCACCCCCTCATTTTATCCTATACCTCCCACCCCCAGGCAGGAGAGAACAGATCCACGCTCCAGGCAAACACACTGAGGAGGACTGAGGGCCTGAGACAGATGGCACAGCACAGGGATGTGGAGACCTCTGGACCTCCTACCCCGACTTAGGCCCCAGGACCTGCACGGATGCCCCTGGCACTCCCAGCCCCCAGGACACGGGCTGAGGGAAGGGGAACCTCACAGGGGCTCTCCTGCAGCAGCCTGACATGACTGCATGGACCTCATCACTTGGGCCAGATCCTGGGCCTTGAGGCTGACTTTAAACCTTGCTCTTCTTGCCTCTGATCTCTCTGGGATGGTCCAGAACGGTTTCCCAGCTGTAACAGATGGGAGGGTCCAGTCTCTTCCCCATCCCCAGCAGATAACTTGGGAGAGTTAGATCTCAAAACCCTGGGAGCAGAAGCAAGATGAAAGGGGTAGCTGTCAAAGGGACAGAGAAACCTAGGGTGAGAGACAGCAAGTTGCTGAACAGAAGAGAGAATGGAGTTCATGTCTGTAGTCCCAGCACTTTTGGAGGCTGAGGTGGGAGAATAGCTTGAGGCCAGGAGTTTGAGACCAGCCTGGATAACGTAGCGAGATCACCATCTCTACAAAAGGAAAAAAAGTAGCCTGGTTTGATGTGGTGTGCCTGTAGACCCCAGATGCTAAGGCAGGAGGATCCACTGAGTTCAAGAGTTCGAGGCTACAGTGGGCTATGATTGTGCCACTGCACTCCAGCATGGACAATGAGCAAGACTCTGTCTCTTAAAGAAAAGAAAGAAAAAGAAAGAAAGAAAGAAAGAAAGAAAGAAAGAAAGAAAGAAAGAAAGAAAGAAAGAAAGAAAGAAAGAAGGAAGGAAGGAAGGAAGGAAGGAAGGAAGGAAGGAAGGAAGGAAGGAAAGAAAGAAAGAAAAAAAGAAAGAAAGAAAGAAAAGAAAAGAACAATGAAGAAGCAAGATGGGGGAGAGAGAAACA